ACGACCTTAATGTAAGACCATAAGTTCCCTTAGGGGCCTATCTCTATCTCCAGACATCAGGCTGTGTATTCATAGCCATTTTCATGTAATAACTTTCTGTGAGGGAGCTTTCGGAGGCATTAAACACTTCAGACGTCTGGGTCCCATTAGCACCACTGTGAACAATTCTGACTCACTCAAGTTTTTCTGCAACAGATTATTTCACAAACTACTCTGAATGACTTTTACATCCTAAAAAAAATAATTATGCAGGAAATTTGAAAAATAAGTGGAACTCCCCTGTGTTAAGAGAATGTCTTACACATAACCCATTCGTATCAGCTTAGGCAAATGTAATGAGCTGCATGGCTCCTTCACCGAGTCTGATTAGAGTTTAAGCATGACTGCTCGTTTGATCATGCCTTGTTTCCTTTCAAAATTGCTCTCAGCAGGTGCAGATGCGTCTACCATAGAGCAAAACATTTCAGTCGAATGCAAGTCTGTGCGCCCCTGGTCAAATGACATGCTTTGTTGATTTTCAGTGAAAATAAGATAAGAAATCGTCTACAGAGAACACACTTCTGCACACTCTAACGCACCACTGCTGTTTATTTGCTGAAAAACATATTTAACATAAAACAGGGCCTTTGCAAAAGTCATATTCTACGTTTTACATGTCATTCCCCTATAAGTAAACATCGTTGTTCCCTGTAGAGGAACTTATTTGACCAGGACGTTTAAACTTTTGCCTACGACTGTACGCAATGCTGGCAACATCAATGCCAATGTACACAAAAATTATATACTAAAATAGTATATTATGTAATATTTAACCTATTAGAGAAGCAAGATCAAATTTAGGGCTGGACCAAATAGCATTTGGCAAGTTTTGAATACTTATTGCCATGACATGATGTGACTTGACATGACATGATTTGTCAAATTTCATGTGACATGCCAAGCTCTCATCACAAATTTTGCGCCGAGCCTTATCCTTTTTTCTGCTCAATTAAAGTGCTTCCCTGAGAGACTTTTAAGGCATCTTTGCTCTTCTAGCCTCAATGGGCATGTGGAAGCGGTGCAGTTTGTTGTGCTGTGATGTAAGGTGACGTGAACGTCTGGCATGAATTCAGCTGAATCCAATATAAGTGACTTATTGTAACTTACAATATTTTCCATATATCAATAATAACCATCCTTACCATCTAAAATGCCTTTTCTGATAAAATTTTAATAATTCAGGCTACAATTTTTGTGGCATAAAAAAGAAAGACCAAGCTATCAAATATTAAAGGGGAATTTCTGCATACTTCAATCATTAATTGGGAATTCTTCCAATCTATCAAGATTTCTGCATGATTAAATCATTAAAATGTACACAAAGGCTGTGTGTGAAACGCGCCATTCTAGAGAAACCTGCAGAGTCAGAAATGTTCACAGTGGTGGTGACAGGAACCAGATGCCTGAAGAGTTTCATGTCTCACAGAAGGAGCTCCGTTGCATGAAATACTGATGAATACTGAAAATACTGCCTGATGCTCGAGTCACTGTTTTACGATAGTTCTGAGATCAAGTTATATTATCAACATTACATATAAAACCCAGAAGATACATGTAGGTTCACTGGTCATTTTTGGCTGTATATAAAATGTCCATAGATTCCTGGTTCCAATCACCACCACTGTAAAGAAATCTAAGGCGGTTTCTCTGCAATGAGCCAGCTCACATCAAACCACTCTGAGTGTCTTTGTTTACATCTCAATCACTGAACTGAGGAGAAAATTTGCAGTCTTTGTTTTAGAGAAACTTACCAAGTCAGAGTTGTACCTTACAGTGGTGACAGGAACCAGATTTCCAAAGCGTTTAATGCCTCTCAAAGCTCCCACACAAAAGGTTTGTTGTGAATCTGCTGCCTGATGTCCGAAACATTGTTCTACAGTAGTTTTTAGATAAGCATGGGGCCAAAAATGCATTTTTTCAAGCCATTCATGGTGGAGAGGTACATGCATGGCATTACAAGACAAAAAAGTACCCAAAGGTTTAACACCACTTTGCCATAATCAACATTACATTCATAGATTCACTGGTGGTTTTGGATTGTAAATATGGCTATATTTGTGTTGTAGACATCAACCCAAGGCTCCTGTCACCACCACCTTAAAGAAATTGGTAAACAGTAATGAAATGTCTCTCTACAGTGAATAGTTTCACATGTTTGACTTGGAATTCCCCTTTTAAATAGAGAAACTGACACTAACGTAAACACTTGAGTATAAAATGAACCCAAGTAAAATGATTCATTCTCTGCTAACACACAACACTAAAACCAACATAGAGGCCCATCCAAACGTAGCGTGTTATAAGTGCTGCCTCACCCTCACACCATAATAGCATCTTGCACTGTATCGCATCAACAGCTTGTGTATTTAAACACTGTATGACACACCATGGCAGAAATAATAACAGCACTGTAAGAGCTGCAGCTGGATCACCACTGCAGTCATCGGAAGTGTGGTAAACAGGCTTAAAAGGTTCAAAGAGGATTTTTGTATTTATGCTTTGGCCACACAAATGAAAATGTGCACGGCGTGTCTATTTTGGAAACAGGGAAGGTCCAAGTCGTGCAGCTTTAATTATAAGGAGTAAACGCATAACAGCCCAGTTCCCTCCAACACAGTCTGACACGGGCTCTCCACGTTTGAAAGCACTGCCTCCTCCCTGTTCCTGCACCACGCCGACACTTCTAGGAAAACAGAAGCTGTCTGGTTCCGTTTAACCTGATGAGAACACATTGGTCATTTGTTAACTTCCACAGCATCACACACTGAATTTATTCAGATATCATTTCAAATCCATGCCAGGAAAAGGTGAGACGACAAACGAACAAAACAGAAAAGCTAACAGGGGAAATTCCAAAAGAGGTTTTTATTACTCAGTGGTTCATATTCATGCAAGATTTAAAGTTAGAACATGACACCTGTTTAAAGAGTCCAGGGCACAAATCTTCAGGACGACCTGATCTGGTTTACCAAGAAAATAAACAAACTCTCAGCAGTCGGGACCTGGAGTAAGGCCTAGTGAGGTGTGTGTTTACTAACCTTTTAAGTTTAGGGTTGAAACGTAGCATGACTGAGCAAAAAGCATTTCGCTTGCCAGATCAACACCCCTCACCAAAACATTTAGATCGGTTTGAAAATAAACTGAGTGGAATACGGTGAGGCTTTCACTACAGATAAGAGTGTTGACAGAGGTTGGTATGCAAACACTTAAAGCCTACAGCTGCCACTGATGCGAGCGCTATTTATCTGACAGTATTTTAGCACCTCTGTCACTTACACCTGGGAGCGGTCTCTTCAAGAATTTAACAGTAGGGATAACCTAATAACTGATTCAGTACTTTATTGATACTCTTATAAATTCTTTAAAAAATATTAAAAAACAAAATAAAACATTTGTCCTATTTGTGGTCATAAGCTGGACTAAAAGGTAACCAAACTTCAGACTGTTCCTGAAGTCCAGTGTGTAGTCCAGTGTGTAGGCAAACCAAAATAAAGCAAAAGAGAGCTAAAAAGAGCATGCAAGAGCGATTGATAGGAAGATAAATATATATATAATATCTTTCTATCAAATCACTCTCGCATGCTCTTTTTTAGCGCTCTATATATATATATATATATATACACACACATACACACACACACACACACACACACATAAATAAACAGTTACACAGATAAAGATAGATTCATAAATAGATATATTCAGACAGACAAACGCTAGGTTGTGACTTCATCGACAGACAGAAAGACAGACAGACAGGCAGACAAACAAACAGGCAAGCAGACAGACAGAAGCTAGACTGTGACTTCATAGACAGACATACAGCAGCTAGACTGTGACTTTTCAGAAACTGCTGAATCTCCAGCTCTGATAACAGAACAATGTCTGTCTGATCTCTGACACTGTTTTACTGATGTGTTACTGATGTTAAAAACCAGCTCCCATGCAGAGTCGGGTATCTGGGGCATCCCTGCCCTCACCTGCTCTCCTCACCGTCCCTCAGAGGAAAGAGCCCAGCACTGACACTCCTTCCACTGAGAGGCTGCGCGTCTCAGGCTTTCTATAAACACTTCGACCCAAAGCCAACCCCAAACATAACAAACCAGGTCAGATCACAGGCTCTCCGTCTGCGAGCGTGCATTAAAAATTCAGAGGCAGCACAAGTGTAGGAAATGGGCCGGATAAGACGCTGTTCCGTATACAGGAAGCACGCAGGAAGCAGGTTTGTGAATATCTTATTCCATTAATCATTTAAGTACGTCTGACAGCTCTTTCCCCAAAAACCACATAGTCCACACTCACAGCAGGGGAGGGTGGGGCAGGCTTCTGTCCCGGGCCTGCAAAGAGCGCTGAGCAAGTCGGGCACACATTTGCAGAAACCCCATTGTCAAACAAATTATGCACAGTTGACTGCAGTAGTGAAAAAAGGGAGAAAAGGCCAAGACACTGCATTGCCATGGAGAGTGACACACTGCCCCAAACACTGAAGCACTGTTTGGGAAAGTGAAGAGGTGGAGCACAGAATAAATGTGCATACAGGAATACTAAGTGGAATTCAAGCTATGCTCTCTGAAAACGGCTGATTTCTATTCAACCACATAAAGCTACAGCATGAGAAACAGTCACGTGTACAGTTCTACGGGTCTATACCACTTGTACTTTATGCAATACGTTAAAAATGTGTGATTTGTGTATTTATTATGGCCTGTTTTTTCAGTACTGTATCACCCAAATTTACCCTTGAGGACAATAAAGTACATCTATCTGCCTATCTGTAGCTATTTATCTATCAGTTCTATACAAACCTATCCACTGAAATTAATCACATTTCTTTACTTTTCCTAATTTAAAGAGAATAAAATGAAGCTTGACTCTCGGGTCTGACCACGTGCATCCAAAGACATAATATTGACATAGTAATTACACATTTATAATGACAATAAATTATTAAAAGAGCCTACCTGGTAGGAGTCTGGCCTCAAGTTTCTTGATGGGCACTTGAGGGGTTTTCTTCAAATCAGTCTGTGTGAAATATATTAAAATAGCATTAAAAAAAAAGGGCACGAACATCAAAAACACACAAATTTCTAATGCATGTCACAATGTAAAAAATTACTGGCAGTGTAAAGAAATTTATGTATGCTTCACTGCGTTTTGTCTTTTTGGTGGACTAATTCATCTTTCTGGAAACAGATTAAGCTTTGCCTAAAAAGAATATGCTCTGGTATCAGGTCTATAGCTTGAGGGTTAATGCTGGACTGGCTCAGGTCTCCCGGGGTGACTGTCAAAACAATGTGTCTGATCTAGAAATGGTGTACTAATGATACTATACTTATGTTAATTATCAACATGAATTATCAACAATATTAGATTTAGATTAGATTAGATTAAACTTTGTCACTGTGCAGAGTTCAGGTACAGAGGCAATGAAATGCAGTTAGCATCTAACCAGAAGTGTAAAATACAGTATTATTTACATATAAAGTGCAGAAAGATGGTAGAGTGGTAAAAAAATATAGACCTGCAAGTATAAATATAATATACATACATACAGAATAAGCGGAGAGCGTACAAATGTATATTGTGTACTGTGACAGCAGCATATGTACATACATGTTTTTTTTAAGTTAGTCTGCATGTTCTTCCATTTTTACTTCTATTCATTTAGGTATTTTTTCTATTTTCTATTTTCATTTGTATCTATGTTTATTATCACCGTTTTATAAATGGAAAAGGAGAGACATGGACGGGTCTTTAGGGTACAGGGCGTTGGAAAAAAAGTAGTCGTAATTTATGTTCACATTGTACTACGCTGTCATTGTTGAACAGAATATGATCCATATGAATATGTCCAGTTTAAAGAACTGAACCAGAGAGTTTGGGAAACTGTCCCAAAACGTCCTTAACACTTTGAAAGTAGTCACCATTGATGAATGACCAAACCGATAACCAGAAAGTGTGACACGAACATTATTTCTGAACTTATGGTTAATAGTTTATATAGATTTATAGTTGAATAGTAATAAAAAAATGACTGAAAAATCAAAATTACTTTAAATGAAGTAAATCTGCAGTTTATGCCCACTTAGTTTTGCACGGTAGTTCCAAGGCTAATATAACTAAAAAGCGATGCATGCCTGTGGTACCCTTTTCTGGGGGTTCTCAGACTTAATTTATATTAGCCTCACATTCTTAAAAAAGATTTTTCGAGGGTTGAAGAGAGGTTCTTCAAGCGTTGACCATTCTATATAGAACTATTTGCATGCCTAAATGGTTCTTTGCACGGTGGAATTGTTCTTCAGACTGACTGAGAATGTGTTGTATATGGTTCTATACAGAACCTCCTCGATAAAGGTCCTATATAGTACCAAAAAGGGTTCTGCTATTGTTACGAGCTTGACATCCTACCAGTAGTAGAATCATTTTTGGTGCCATACAGAACCATTTTCAAAAAGTTTCTATACAGAATCATATACAACACATTCTCCACCAATCTGAAGAACCATTTCATCACCCAAAGACCCATTTAAGCACGCAAATGGTTCCATATGGAGCTCATGGTTCTAAATAGAAGCATTCCCTTTACTAAAGAACCCTTAAAGAACCATCTTTTTTAAGAGTGAACTGCTCCACTGCAAAGCTGAAGCAAATTACAGGCAACACACACATCTTGACTGACTGACTGCACGTGTGAGATGAAAGAAAAATTGTGAAAAGTGTGAAAATTTGACTTTTTGTTGAACCTCCCCTTTAATAGGTCATTAGTGTACAGCACATTTCTACTGAACTACCGCTAACAGGCTTGCAGCCTTCCAGCAATGAACCAACAGCATGTTCTCAGTGTAACGTAATCCAAGGCAAAATCCAAGAAAATAACATTTAAAAGAGTTTTTCTCACCTGAAGTGGAGGAAGGTAGGACTTAAACGTTGGTTTGGGAGGAGTTTTGGTAGAAAACATGTTGGTAAGCGTGTCAGTAAAGCTCCCACACTGACACTCACTCACTCTCCAATGAAAGCTGGTGAAAGCCCAGGCAGGAGCAGCTGATCTTCAGCAGGACAAACTTTAAAACTGTGATGTTGGTCGGGTCAGCAGGCTGCCTCGACCTCCCTGCCTCAGCTTTAGAAGCAGACTGAGTCTTCATTCATTCTCAAACACATGAAGTCCGTTAATCCGGCTGAGTTCACAGAGCCAAACTCACCCAAACCGCTCAAACCTCTCTCCTCCTTATTCAACCAGTTGGCCGGCTAGCTCTGTTAGCGTTAGCTCTTCAGCAAGTTGCCTGTCAAACTCCGCTCAAGTCAACTTTCCCCGCTGGGTTCTTGAGGTCTACCGCGAACGTGCACTTCGGCAGCTCATCCTGGTCCTCGTCTCCTTCAGAACAGACGACTGGAGGCTCCGAAGTGCGACTCCATCCGTAGTTTAATCTCCTTCTCCCCGCTGACTGAGCTGCTTTATTCCTGCGAGCGGTCGGTTTCTGCAGACGACGTCGCGGCCATGTTTACAGAAGTAGCGGTGAATGAGTCGCGAACGAATCGAATCTTTTGAAACGCTGCTTTTAAATGAATCAGGCGAACCGACTCACAAGTCCGAGCTGAATCGATCCTTTTGAAGCATCTGTACATGTTGTAGACTGAGGACTTTTATTTTTTATCACTTATAAACTCATTTTGTATTGTTGTTTTTTAATGAAATAATTATATACGCGTTAGTTTATTTTCTACAGTTTTTATTTTGTTTTTATTTATATATTTTTTATTTATGTAATTATTTGTAATTATTCCCTCTCAAAGTCACAGCAAAAACAGCACCTAGTATCATGATAAATACAGCCTTGTTCAGTTTCTCCTCTGCAGGCCGTAGCTGACTTCTTTCAAAGTAGGCCCCATTACCTTTTTAAAAATAATGAAGTGACTGTTGTTGTTGTTGTTGTTGTTGTTTTATTTCTGTGAAAAGTGAAAGTATCTGTATTTTAACCTAAAATAAAATGATTAAAATGCTCCCCCACCTCACTGACACTGAACTTCTCTATGAAATATATTCAGTAAAATCTTCCAGTGACACCATAATTTCAATGTAATTAGGTTAATTTCCAAGCAATTTAATGTTAAAAGAATTATTTACCCTATTAATGTATTTAACTTAACAAAAAAGTCCCTTTAGCCTGTATCCCACACTGTGTTACCCAAATCTGTTCCCCCTCCCCATTAAAAAAATGGAACTTTCCATTTATTGTGATATATAAAAAAAAATTACATCATGACCATCAAACTGGTCAGTATTCTCATTCTGTTTTCTCAATTTACACACAAAAACTGATTTGGCTGCACAAGTAAAGCTCGATCATCCAAACCTGTTACCAAAACAATTGTTCAAAGTCTATATATTTTTTTAATTCATGTAAATGATATGATTATTAGTAGTTAGCATGCAAAATGTGGACCCTGTCAAGCTAAACACTCCTGAATGCTGCTTACTTTGGGCTAGGTTTGCAACCCTGTTACTCATTTTTTTAACCTTAAGTTATTTCAAATGACAATTAAATAAAATGGCTTGAAACAAAGACTTAAATGACAACATTTTGATTAAAACTTTTTTCAACTAAATGTTTCAACTTTCCCTTTCCGCTCTATAGTGAATACTTAATTATTTATTATTTAACTGCATTAATATCAACTCTGTGTTCAACCCTGTTACCCACTTCAACCCTGTTATTCAGTCATTTTTGTTAAAAACAGCTCATATAGTCTGATTTGACAGCCTGGGGTGAGAAAATAAGATTTTCTGAATTTTAAGCATATACTTTAATTAATACTTTGACAAAAAACACAAGCTTGAACTTGCACGTGCAGGAGACGAGACTAAACTTGACTTGTGAATCATTTAATTGTTGAATCCAACATTCGATTCATTGAAACGGGGGGTTCGAAAGAACCGGCTCGGTGGATTGAATCGAACGTCCAAATCGCTCCAGAATGGAGAGTTTGGAGAGGGCGTGGCTGAGACACAGAGGGGGCGCGGCCTACACAAATGAATTAAAAGGTTTTTTCACAAAAAAAACTACAGTTATGTGGGTTTTTTTCTTTTTAATGGCTGTTTTATCATTTGTTTGTGTTTGTTCTTCTTTAGTGAGAAAGCCTTCTGAGGGGCAAAGGACAAGAATGAAAAGCTGCTTTAAGAAACTTTAGGCAGGACTACAGACTACAGTTCACTTCCTCACAAAAGATCAGTTACAGCCTGAATAGAAAGTAAGAAAGAGTTTTACCCGCTCTTAAACCTAAATAGGAGGTAAGTGTTGATACTATTACTAGTAAATAAAAACATCATAAGCATGAAACATGCTCATTGTTTTGTGAATTCTCTAAAATGGAGTCCCTGTGGCAGCTTATAGAGCAGGGACCATATTACAGAAACGTCTTAAGTCTGTTTAGTCACAAAGACAACTTTAGTTAGGACTCAATTTAGGACAGAAGCTATTACAGAACAACAGTTCTTAAGTTCATAATCTTATCATTAACTCTAGATAAGAAAACAGTATTACAGAAACATCCTAACTAGACTAAACCTCCCAAATTCTGTCCTAACCTTAAGATAAACCCCAGAGGAACCTTAACTTCTGCTTAACCGTCTGTGATAGGCAGTACAGTTCACTATAACTGGCATAATGACGTTACATTTATCTACACTGAACACTGTGGTTTGACTTGTGAGGGTTTTTTTAACAGCGTTTAAAAGCCTGAGACACTGCAGACACGATATCCACCATCCCCTCTTACTACCTTTGTGTGTTAATGTTCATGAAAACTTGTTACATACAATATTACAGTGCTGGTGGTGAATAATGAGGAGACAGAGCTGATCGTGTGTTTATTAGGAGGAGTAACGTTATCGCGCTCAACTAAAGCATTTGGGAAATGGAGACTGAAACCGCGGAGCGGCAACGCTCTGATAAACAGCGCAAATCTCTGTCACAATATTCTTAACCTTCAGTTTATCGTGCTTTAGTTTTATTTGACCTTGTTTACATCAGTAATGGTAACTAGCTGCCTGGCTAACTAACTTGATTACGTGTTTACATTTTAGCTGCGCACGTATGGTTGGTTGCTAGGAAACAGAGATGACAGTTGATTGTCGATTTCGATTGAGTAAGTTAAGATTTCTTAACTTTAGATAAGAAAAGATGCTGTAAGATAAGATAAAATTCCTAAATTAAGATCAGATTTGCCTCTGTAATAAGAATTTGTGAAAATCTTATCTTGACCTGTCAGATCAATCAAAGATAGGAAGTTTCTGTAATTTGAAGTATAAATTGCTGAGTATTCATGGGAAATGTTCCTTGCTCAATGAAAGAGATAAGAATCACATACAGCAGTATTAAATAAACAATTGAATACATTAGAAGGAAGACTTTTTTTACATATATACATATATATATATATATATATATATGTATATATATAACCCCCTTTCATCCTGTCCTTCAAAGGTCAGCACCTCCACAGGACCACCACAGAGCAGGTATTATTTGGATGGTGGGTCTTTCTCAGCACTGCAGTGACACTGACGTGGTGGTGGTGTGTTAATGTGTGTTGCGCTGGTGCAAGTGGATAAGACTGAGAACAGTCCACCAACCAAAAATATCCAGCCAACAGCGTCCTGTGGGCAGCGTCCTGTGACCACTGATGAAGGACTAGAGGATGACCAACACAAACTGTGCAGCAGCAGATGTCGTCTCTGACTTTACATCTACAAGGTGGACTGACAAGGTAGGAGTGTCTAATAGAGTGGACAGTGAGTGGACACAGTGTTTAAAAACTCCAGCAGCACTGCTGTGTCTGATCCACTCAGACCAGCACAACACACACTAACACACCACCACCACGTCAGTGTCACTGCAGTGCTGAGAATGATCCACCACCCAAACAGTACCTGCTCTGTGAGGGTCCATGGGGGTCCTGACCACTGAAGAACAGGGTAAAAGGGGGCTAACAAAGTATGCAGAGAAACAGATGGACTACAGTCTGTAACTGTGGAACTACAAAGTGCACCTATATAGTAAGTGGAGCTGATAAAATGGACAATGAGCGTAGAAAAGATAGGTTTTAAGGTTATGGCTGACCAACGTATATACACAGTATTGTTACAATTCATCCCTTTAAAAGCAACAGATAATCTTTATCATGAATATGTTTGGTGTCCTCTGATGCTCCAGATCCATCATTCAGCCTGGCAACTGCATGAAGATCAACAGATGTTGTGGATTCTTCATGGTCTGGATCTTGATGGTAGAATTCCTCATGGATCCTAGTTCCCCTCCTCACCATGTCCCACAACATATGGAGAACCTGCACACATCACACATCACCCAATGAGAGCTTTTAGAAAGATTTAGAATTTATAAAGAAATATAAAAACAGATCAAATCTAAGATCTCACCATCAATGTCAGGAGCTGCTTCTCCGTTTTGGAGGCTGCAGCAGAGACAGGAAAAGAAATGAGGAACAATTCCACAATAATGAAAGTGATCAAGTTCATTTAAGACCTGAACTTCAACATTATTGTCATAGTCTACTTTGTAACGGCACAGCCTGAGATCCTGTAGAGACACATATACGTTATTAGTATTATTAGTTTCACTGATCATCAGAAAATAAATACATATAACTAGATTATTAGTTTCATTAATCATAGAGCTCTTTATTAGAGGGTCAGATAGAGGTCATAGAGATTCATATTGGACAGTAACCTTGTGCAGTGCTGGCCTTTTTCCTTATGAGTGCAAATGCGATCCAAACAGAAAGCAGAAGACACAAACATATGGGCCATGAAGTAAACAGAGGCATGAGAGGGTGAACACCTGTAAACAGACGACCATCACAGTATCAGTGATTAGAAATACTGTAAAACAGTGCAGATAAAAGTGACGTTTATATTCTTAGTTATATTATATAAACCTGTGTGTGACTGAGTTTGTATGTGTACACATTATTTAACACCATTTATCTCAGCAGTGAGTGTGTTTATGCTCATAAAACACTATTTATTATTAAAATACATACTAATAAACATTAATACAGTATAATAATAATACAGACCAGAATTTCTTTTTATCAGAAAGGTAGCTGATATCTTATGAGCTAGTTTGAAGAACAAAGTCTGGTTCCAGATTTCTCCTCAACATCTCTAGACATTGCATGGATTTGTTAAACTCCATCAGCTGCACTCCTGATTTAATTTATTCATGCAGTGATTCTATAAACCAGGTGTTGAATAATAACTACAAATAATTCTGGTTTTCCTCAGTGAGAAGGGTCTAAAGGATTAATGGAAAATTACAACTTATTCTATTAATGTTTTTTTGTGTTTATTCTAATATCAGTGTTTTTCTGAGTAAATAAACACTTTTTAATTCTAAATATCCCAGATGCCCAAAATTTTACATTTAAGTGTGTTCTCTGTAGAGGACGTGTTAACTTATTCACACTTAGAAAATCAACAAAATAAGAAATCTTATACATATAAATAACTTATGCATACATGCATCATAGAGAAATGCTTTAATACATATATCTTGAAGATGAAACTCACCAGTTATTTTCTTTGTTGTCTCCTCAGTTGTTGTCTGAGTCACAGTGGTCATGGTTGGCTGTGGTCTTTTGTCTTTCTGAACACTGACTGTAACTCTTTGTATCACCTTCCAGTTTCCTTTAGCAGTGTTTTTATTATTTGGGTGCACTTGTACAGCACAGAGGTACTGACCGCTGTCTGACTCCATCACTTCACTGATCCTGATGTTGTGACTGTTCGGTTCTTTGGTTTGGTTTGAGAGTCTGTTAAGTAGTTCTTCCTGTACGTTGCAGTGGTGACCGAGCACAACCTCATTCATAGAAAAATCATTAGAATACACACAGGTGCTGCTCTCTCCAACAGTTTTAATCCAGTAAACAACAAATGACACCCCATTATATTCTTGTGTGAAGGTGAAACTACAGTTTAAACTCACTGATTCACCTTCAGTTACTTTCAGTGAAGATGTTTCCTCAGGTGTGGATGTTACTGCAGGGAGAAAAATAATAATAATAACTTTACTGATTATTCAAAACCAAGAAGTCGCTAAACCTTCATAAGATGACACAGAGAATGAAAAGTTACTCACTGTTTGGGTTTGGAACAGCAACTGTGTATGAATGGATGACGTTGGGAGACGGTTTGAATAAATATAAGAATCCAGGATCCAGAGATTTAACACAGGCAACAAATCCACTCTTTACTGTTAGAGTACAATCAGTACTGACTGTTAGAGTACAATCAGTACTGACTGTGAATGTTTATTTGTGCAAAAGTCCAGTTTATCATAATTCTCGATAAGCTCAATCCTGATGTGGTCACACTGTGAGCAGTTCAGGTCAATCCGGTTGTCAGACTCTGTGCTTATTTGCCATTTGTTTGTTTCACATCTCAACTATACTTTATCCATTGCTGTATAAATGAAACTGAGTTTGTCCTTAGAAACAAAATAGAAATGATTGTGAGGCTAAATAAAAACAGATTGTGAATTCAGGCATTTGTTTTTATTATCATTACTTTATTAATAATAAACTAAAAAGGTAAAGATGTCTAACACTTAGCAAAAAGTGAAAATAAATATTGCAGATAGAAAAGATTTTGTTGATGAAAGTGAATCTACTGCTACAGTATGACTGTTTTGAGTTCAAACTGTAATCAAAGTTATACTTTAAATTATCATATAGAACAATATTATATATACTGTAAACATGGTAAAACACAAACAATGTGAAAATCACTCACCGTGGCTTTTACTGAAGACAAAAAACAGAAAAATGAAGCACAGTGTCGCCATGACTTCTATTAGTTGTTCAAAGCAGAAGTGTGAGATGTTATAGCTTCGTCTTACAGGAAGAGCTGTAACACAGCGGCTTCAGCTGTAATAAGTGTAAAACTGAGCTCATTTCCTCAGTTCAAACTTTATTTTTAGTGAATTCCTTTACAGATAATTCAGAGATATTTCAAGCTAAAATGAAAAGACTAGATCTTATCCAAAGCTCTAGCCTAGATAATTATGAATGGATCATATTAAAACTAATTCAGTTAATTTAGTTACATGATTCAAGTAGAAGTAAAAATAGCAAAAAAATCTAAATCAAAAACTCAAGACCTACAAAACTGCAGTGGAACCTACACTTTAGTTTCATTCATGACGATTTAAAAAGCTCATATCACAGAAAACTGAATTTTCCTGTTTTTTAAAAGAAAAGTTTTTTTAAGATGTTTTATCTAAACATTGATTAATATTTTTAAAAACAGTGTTGACTCATCAGTCCATACAGTTCATGTATGGAAACGCAGTTTTAAAGTCAGCGTTTTTGTGATGTCACATATCAAACCCATCACATTTATGTGTATCAGTCTATTCAGCCTACAGCAGTTCAGCTCTGCCCAATAAAAATAAAGGATAGGATTTGTAAAAAACAAAAAAGGACATGTTGCAGTGTTCCTGTAATTGTTGATAACTATGATAAACAGCAGTACTTAAACATGATTTAGTTGTTTTCGTCATCATTAATCTGTGACAATAAAGGAATTTAATAGTAGATGATAGACGTTAAACCAGGGTCACCAATCTTATCCACAGAGGACCAGAGCAGCTGTAGGTTTTCATTCCAAACTGACTCTACCTGATTGTACCTGACTGTACCTGACTATATCTGACTGTACCTGATTGTTCCTGATTGTATCTGACTGTACCTGATTGTATCTGATTGTATCTGACTGTACATGATTGTATCTGACTGTACCTGATTGTTCCTGATTGTATCTGACTGTACATGATTGTATCTGACTGTACCTGATTGTATCTGATTGTATCTGACTGTATCTGATTAATCAGCTGCTGTCCGTCTTCAGATAACTGATCGTTTGATCTCCTGCTTTGTTGAAATGAAAACCTGCAATCAAATCGACACTTTGTGGATGAGACTGGACACCCCTGTGTTAAAGTGAGAAATATGGTGTGGCAGCGCCACCCGCTGTACCTGGTGGGGAATGAATGAGTGGGTTTATTTAAGCAGCAGCGCCATCTGGTGGGTCATAATGGTCTCCTATTCTAAAATCTCGCAGTGCTGGTATTCGGTGACCGTCACGAAAAGCAGAAGTGAGAACTACGATGATGCAAATGTAAGTTTTTTGAATAAACAATTTATGATAACATTTAAGTTACATGTTTCTGTGAATATATTACATATTTCATTATACAATAAAGTTTTTATGGAGATGGAGATCTTCTGAACTAAGAACTCTCATATAATGAACAGAAGTGTGTAGAGGAGCTTCAACCACACACTAAAGTAAGGAAAATGTTACTGCAGTGAAAAAGCTCAGAAATAAAGTAGCTACCAGAAAAAAAAAACACGAAAAATGTATCTACTGAGTAACTTTTATAGAACTGCAGTGGAACTTTTTTAGTCCATCTGCCAGCACAGGAACTGAAGTTTCTTTGGTAATATTGTGCTTTTTTAAGAATTCATAAAACTCTTAAATGAGAAAAACACATATTTTTGCTCTACATTACTGATACACTGCTCATAAATTGTTGATAGGGCGATATTGGAAATCAAATTGCATTAACTCTACTTACATTATTTGTTTTTGCCTAATTCATTCTGTGAAAGGCAGAGAAAATCATAAGCATGTATTGCATTTACAGTTTTGTGTCAAAGCCATCTGCTGTACCGGGTGAGGATTGAATAAGTATCTTTATTTCAGAGGCAGCGCCATCTGGTGGGTCATGATGGCCTTTCAGTCTAAAACTACAAGCCACAAATGTTACCAACACTACTGTGATTTCTAAACAGATAATTGAGGCCAAAACAAATGTTTCTTTTCAACTTTGGCTAAACTTTTAATGCACGCACGCTGTCACGCTTCAAATCAGGGGTACCCAAACTTTTTGTCTCAGGGAAGCAAAGTGCAATGTTTGTGATGAGCTGAGGGCCAAACAAACCAAACAAAATAAAAAATAAAGATATGTAGGTAGGTTTCAAATTGAGATTTTGAAACTTTGTTGTAACATAATCATTTAACTAAAATATAAATTTACAGGTAAATAAGAATTAAGTAAGTTACATACAGAATAAAACTGTGTTCCTTGTTGCTTGAGGGGGCGGGGTTAGGATACCTCTCTGGTCCCGCTGGGTCAGCTTTTGGCAGCCCTATTTTGAAGGGGTTCTAGTAAACATTACTGACACTTTAAGCACTTTGGTCCCACCCCCCACTCAAACAAATACACCCACCCAACTAGCCTTCATACTTTCACCATCACCTCTGCTGTTTCACGGATGAATTACACTGGTGGACAGGACTGTACAAAACAACGATACAGTATCATAGATAGCAAACATGAAATGTCTGTGCTGGTGACTGATTCAGGTAACAGGCTCCTCCAGTAATATTCAGAGACAGACTTTACCTTTAAATCTTTACTGAAAGACACAACATCCAAAGAATATATTAAAGAATACAAAACTGAATTAATATGATATTTATTTTATGTATTAGCACAAGGAACTGTATTAAATTTGAAAAAAGCAGTGAAATGTATATGCTTTAAAGTGAAAGACATTTAAATTAATGCATATAGCAGATACATGTACGTGTGTATATATAGTTGTTTGGGCACTCTGGTCACACTACATGTATTTGTTGATTTTCTAAGTGAGTATAAGTGAACACATCCTCTACAGAGAAAACACTTCTGCACATTTTAATGCACAAATGTAAAACTCAGCAAGGAAAATAGAAATTGTGCTCTAAAATATGAAGAAAAATCACATTAAAGCGTGTTCCCTATAGATGATATGTTAACTTATTTTTAGTTAGAAAATCAATAAAACCTAATTTGACCTGGGGGTGTTCAAACTTTTGCATATGACTGGTGATACAAGCATTACTTGAGAAGCTTGTCCACTTTGTTACTCTGCTCAGCAGCTTTGTATTAAATATGTTTGTTGTGATCTGAAGGCCCAGATTCATATAAGCTGTTCAGTCTAACGACTGAATAAGGGTCAATAGATGGTGTGGATTCTTCACGGCCTGGATCAGCCGTCTTAGATCCAAAGAAAGTCCCCTCCTCAACATTTCCAACAGCATATGGAGAACCTGCACGTAGCATGAGTGAAGATTATACAGTAAGCATTACAGAGACGACTGAACACGGAAAAGAGGAAGAAGATGACACGACTGAAACACTGACACACTTACAGTCCATGTTAGGAGCTTCTTCTCTGCAGCAGTCAGAGGAAAACATGGTGTAACAGAAATGAGTAACAGTTGATGCAATAATGGAAATCATGTCAACATAAAATGAAGATAAATATAACTGTGACAGCTCACCTTTGTTGTACACTTTGACATCCTGTATGAAAGAAAATATGTTAAATATATATTAAATGATCACAATATCAAATGTCTTATAGTAAATGGTCAGATAAAAACACAGAGAACTTAGTTTGTTAAGCTATTTCTTCACAGTGTGGTTACCTTGTGAAATGATGCACTTCTTTCTTATAAACACGACCAAGACAATCAGCAGAAGACACAGTATTATGGGTATTGCTACATACAAGGGCTTAAGACGATCATCATCTGTGTAGAGACAACAGTGAAAACATCAGCAGTTAGAAATAAATTAATAAAGTTTAGCTGTGAGGGTCATTTATACCCCCCTATGATACACACATATAATTAGTTCAATGCAAACTCACCAATGTTTTCCTCAGTTGTTTTCTTTATTGTTTTCTCAGTCGTTTTCTTTGTTGTTGTCTGAGTTGTTTTCTTTGTTGTCTCCTCAGTTGTTGTCTGAGTCACAGTGGTCATGGTTGGCTGTGGTCTTTTGTCTTTCTGAATACTGACTGTAACTCTTTGTATCACCTTCCAGTTTCCTTTAGCAGTGTTTTTATTATTTGGGTGCACTTGTACAGCACAGAGGTACTGACCGCTGTCTGACTCCATCACTTCACTGATCCTGATGTTGTGACTGTTCGGTTCTTTGGTTTGGTTTGAGAGTCTGTTAAGCAGTTCTTCTTGCACAGTGCAGTGGTGATCGTACTGGGGCGAATCATGCATGGGAAGATCATAAGAATACACACAGATGCTGCTCTGTCCAACAGTCTCAATCCAGTAAACAACAAATGACACCCTCATTATATTCTTGTGTGAAGGTGAAACTACAGTTTAAACTCACTGATTCACCTTCAGTTACTTTCAGTGAAGATGTTTTCTCAGGTGTGGATGTTACTGCAGGGAGAGAAGAGCAGCGTGTTACACTTTATCTCAGTTAATGCACAAATTTAACATACTATATAAAGCGGACAAGAACACAAGACAACTGAAACTTTTTCATAAGCAAGTAAGACATTAAATATTGGAGAAATGAAAGGATATAAAAACCGGAGAAGCCAAAATAAATTACTATATACATAATCTGCTGTTATTTCTAATATATTCAACAGTGATATGAACACCTGTAGTGATACAGTGATAATACAGAGAATGAAAATTACTCACTGTATGGGTTTGGAACAGCAACCATGCATGAATGGATGATGTTGGGAGACGGTTTGAATGGAAAAAGGAATCCAGAATCCAGAGATTTAACACAGGCAACAAATCCACTCTTTACTTTCAGTTCACAGTCAGGATCTGACTGTTTGCAAAATTTTTGCTTGTCATTGTCTTCACCATCATCATCACCATCATCACCATCACCATCATCATCATCATCATCAGGCTTAATTTCAATGTATTCACATTGTGAGCAGTTCAGATCAATCCTGTTATCAGACTCTGCACTTATTTGCCATTTTTTAGTTTCGCATGCCAACTTTCCTTTATAATCTTTCATATAAACTGAGTTTGTCCTTAGAAACAAAAAAGAAATTGTAATGTACGTTTGAGGAAAGCAGCTTGAAGATTTAGCCATTAGCTTTGATCCTACTAACTTTATTAACAATAACAGACAAACTGTCAACAACTCAGAGTTCATTGCTCAAAATTACAGTAAAAGTGAAAAAAACACTGCACAGACAGAAAAACAGGATTTTAGCTGAAAGTACAACTAATATCAGTGTCTTTCACTTCAAACTGCACTTAAACATTTATTACAGAAATGTACCATAGAACAATATTATATATAACAACCACTGAAAAGAGAATAAAACGATAAACACACAAGAAAGTGAAATTTACTCACTATGGCATTGACCAAGAAAACAGAGCAGAAGAGAGAAACACAGCCACACCATGACTTCCATTTCATTCACTGTCATAAAAAGTAGAAGTGTGAAATGATGCAAACATGCAGTTTAACTTCCTATTCATTTCTCCTGTTTACACCTCATTTTAGTTTAGTACTGTTTAAAGAACTCTGTGTACAAAAATACAGTGACATTCTTTATCAGTCTTCAATTGAAAATGCTGGATAATGAAGAAATCACAAATGACTGGCTACACCTTCTTTAAGGGCTCTGTAATGAATAGAGTATAATAATAAATAGAGTCATGTGAATACTTAAAGGGGAATTCCACCAATTTTTTAGAATTCCTGTAATATAAAATAGTTAAGATGTAAACAAAGTCATTCGGGGTGGTTTCATGCAAAATGCTCTGTGCTAGAGAAACTTACCAAGTCAGAAATGTGGTAGTGATGGGAACCAGACATCTGAAGAGTTTAATAACCTTTAAAGCTCCCCTACAGAACAATAATACATGAAATGGTTCAGAAAACGCTGCCTGATGCCTCAGACACTGTTTCACTATAGTGGTGATAGTATGTTTTAAATGGGGGAGAGATACATGCAGATCATTGTACTGCAAAGTATCACCCAATCTTTTTTCAGATTTAGCACTAAGTTACCATCAACAGCATTACATGTAAACACTCAGAGGACGCGTGTCGGTTCAATGAGTTCTATTTGTGTTGTAGACATTGTGAATCCTGGTTTTTGTCACCACCACTGTAAAAAAATCTAAGTAAATGTATCTACAGCGAAATATTTCACACCAAACCACTCTGAATGAGTTTGGTTACATCAAAATGATAATTTTGAAACATTGGTGGAATTCCCCTCCTCTGTGATGGAGAACCTCTTGTATATGGTTCTTCAACCCCTTAAAATCCCAGAATTATTACGTCCTAAAGATTATTATTCAGTAACTACAGAGACTTCAAACTGACTAAGTTATTCTTAGGTTATAGAACTGTGTAATAAAACTTTGATCCCTGGCCCTTTAAGGGGTTGAAGAACTTTGGAAAAAACGGTTCTATATAGCACCAAAAAGGGGTTCCACCATTATTACGAGTAAAGTCAGAACCCTTGTTGCTAAAAGTGTAGATAGTTACAAATAACTACTTCACAGTAAGATTTAATAGCAAGTTATGTATTCTATGTAAAAATGTATATGCCGACACATTTTTTATAACAATGAATAAACAATGGATTCTTCTCACCTAATGACGGCTTTGTGGTGGACAGCAGTGGACAGAGGAGTTTCAAACCCACACTGAAGTCAAATTGTTCACTTCAGTGAAATCATGAAGAATCATGTCTTAAGAAGAAGCAAAAGCGGCTGTCAAAAAAAAAACCCTGACAAAAAAAAAGGTCTGACGCCCCTCGAGTGCTGACGTCCCTCCAGCACTGAGTTTCCTGTAGAACTGCAGGGGAACTTTTTAGTACATCCAGCATCCATCAGCATAGATACTGAAGTGTTTTAGACTCTGTTTTCTCTTTTTGGATCCTTTTGGTCCAAAATAAATTGTTAAAGCTCCAAACTGAGAGCTACAGATTCCATAATGTATTTTTGGTATTGATGGTATTGATGGGAAAAATGATTCAATCAAGTAAAAGATGAGAAATCATGCAGATGAGTTAATGAAAAACCTTCCTTTATTCCAGTACTGGGAGAGATCTGTCTCAAACATTCATCATGTGACAATGGATTATATAGGCAAACAGTATAAAGCTTATAATTGGTTACAGACTAAAACTTTATCAAATATGGATTTTGTAACATAATACTTAAAGAACAATGCTACAGCAGGTACCCTTCATGTGTAAACTTTAAGATCAGGACAGAAGCTCTATTTCTAGAAGGTGATGACTTCATTTCAATGAATGAGCATCAACCACAGAGACAGACATTGTCTTATTTCCTGTCTTGCTTATACAGGAAATATCTGCACCCTATATGTTTCTTAAAAAAGATTCATTGTCAGCATGTCAGTTTACACGTCTTCTGCTGATTATACTTTGTTGTCTGGCAGAAAGTTATTGCTGTTTGATTAAAGCTAAATACTTGATTAATATAAAAATATAGCTAAACTTCTAATCAGAATATAAGATTTGTCTCACATTTCCTTTCTTTGACACTATCAGTGTCAACAACATCATACAAAGGCAAGTGTGTGGGCCAAGACTGCTTAATCTTCCACAGAAAGGTCAGGGTGGCCAGTCAGTTTTGTGGTATGAATGAGGATCATAATCAAGGGCCACATTCTCGCTGCTGGGACCAGTCATACAGCAAGTCACAGCATGAATAGTTTCCACACCAACATAACAACAATGATCAGAACTATCACTGAACCACAACCGACAGTAATTTTGTCCACAAACCTGACTGGTTAACCACGAATACAGACAAGAAGGATCCCAACTCTGGTTTTCCTGCAGTTCTTTATATTGTTAGAGGTGTCCTGGATCTTGAGGCATTGGAAATATAAGTGCAGCAGCACTCACCTCCCACAACCTGACAAACACCTGCTATCTCTTCTAAGAGAAGATTTAATTCAATACAGTTTTGCAGAGCTACTTTTTCTATTTCATTCACTTCCTTCTGAATAGCTTGTACTGCTCTGAGAGACGCATTCATGTGGTTTTCTGAGACCCCCGAAAAGTACTTCAATTTCCTTCTCACTACTATAAATACCATGTAAATATCATAACCAGTAAAAATCATTCCAAATATTTTTTCAGCTTGTGTGAGGGTTTGTTTTTGCTTGTGCACTATTTAAGTGTCTTGTGGATGCACGTGTCTAATGAGCAGGACCAAACTAGTTAGTAAAACGTACCAAAATATGTTTTCACCTGTTCTGATAATGTGGGATCCACTCAGCAGCACAGCCTCACAAGTCTACCATATCAAATCAAATCAAATAGGGTAAGAACATTTATTAAGCTGCATTTTAAGACTGAGAAGAAAAACACAACAGTAGTAACGTTTGATTTGTTTTGTGTCATTCCTGCTGACAGCCTGTTACGGCCAATCAAAACAATCATGCTCTAGGTTGGTACCCTCAAGGGTACATCTCAGTACCTTTAGTCAGGGAACATAATTGTACCATAATCCATGAAATTATATTGTTGTATTGACTCCATACATCCCGTCTCGTCTCACACACACACACACACACACACACACATTTTCCAAGCCACTTATCCTTCTGGGTTGTCAGTCCATTGCAGGGCAGACACACAGATATACGTTCACACACACACACACACACACACACACTCTCTCTCTTACATCTAGGGGCAAGTTAGCATGTCCAGTTGCCTGACTGCATGTCTTTGGACAGTAGGAGGAAACCAAAACACCAAGAGAAAACCCACACAGACATGGAGAGAACAACTCCACACAGAAAGGACCCTGGTCGCTCGGCCGGGGACTCAAACCCAGGTTCTTCCTGCTGTGAGGTGACAATTCTACCCAATATGTACTTTTCCACCGGGAGAAAACTTATTAAAGGTTCACAACTGGACCTTAAAACCATTGTTGTACCCTTGAAGGCACGTCTACATTGTTTGTACCTTGATGAATAAAAATGTACCTGCACAGAACCTTTATTTCTAACAGTGGACGCTCTGCCTTATTTTCTCAGCCTTCCAATCACTGATTAGCAACTGTTGCTGTCTGCAACTGCTCAAAGCTGGTTTGTTATCAGCACATGTTTGTAGCTAGGGTGAAGACACCGAGGCCCACAGGAGTTTATGATGGGCTTTATGAGATTCAATGTCCATTCAGACTCATCATTTCCTCTTGGGGGAATTCCCAGCGTCATCGTAAGGGTTGTTCCATTACATTATTCGCTGATGTGAAGGGTGTTACAGAGTCCTCAGAGGGGCGAGGAATTGAGCGAACATCAGTGTCCACTTCAGCAGCAGAACTTGCCCAGAAATCATTGCGAACTGACTCATTTCCCTTTTCAAAACCCCCAAAAATGGTGGACAAAGCAGTTTGTAAGCTATAGCAGCAAACTACTTTAAAAATGTTTAACATTTCAAAACCTTAACATTTGATTTACTGAACTTTAGTTTACAAACTACTCCACCTGTTATACATGACCTCTGATACAGCTTCATCACGTTCCTCCTCTAGCTGGCTCGTTAGCATACTAAAGGCTACACGGCTAACAAGAACACAAACAAAGGCGTTACACCACGGCTCTACTTAAGTTCTACTCAAAGTTTATCGCCAGCCAAAGCAATTACTCACACGTTATGTTTATTATGCTATAGTGATGGGAGTTTGAACGGTTTGCTCTGGCAGGTGTGTTTATTGGTTGTGAGCCATTATGTACGGCACAGGTAAGTGAAGTCATACCTGTATTCAGCAACCATGGCGTTGCCATGGTGTGTGAGATACTGTGACTCTACAAAGAATCGTTACTCTTTATGACATGACTTGTTACTCAGGCTTTCCTCCAACAGCTAGTCTGCTGTAAAGAGACAACAGCACGACAGACAAACTGATGCACAAATTTCTGATTAAAGCGACTAATACAGTTCGAATGAACTTGGTTTAAACCTTTAGGCAGACAATATTTATTAACCTCTGTTTCAATGTATTGAAGAATACCAGCTCTTTGGCCCGTGTGTGAAGATGGTCTCTCCATCCAGGGGAGAAATGGGCTCCTGCAGTCGGTGTTATTATCAAAATTCTCTGCCAAATTTAGCCAATTGGTACATCACCATTCAGACAATTTGAGTGGGACAAACACTGCTGTATTAGTGTTGCTTGGTAGCTGCTGACAGATCCAGCAGTCAGAATCATTCATTGACCATGGAAATTCAGTCATCATGATCAGAGCTTCATTATCATGATAGGCTATTCCTCTTCCTGATAGGGTGCCATATATGAACATGAGAACCAATAAAAACACCATGATCAGTTAACTAGATGTGTAACATCCATTCACTCTTTCTCCTGGTCTTTGTGTTTTTGCCTTTTTCTTGGTTTCCCAGTGCTGTGTGTTTTTGTTTATCTGCCATGTGCTTTTGTTGTCATGTTGGCTCCTCCCCTGTCCTGCCCTGTCTTCACCTGTTCTTTGTCTCCCTGCCCCTCCCTCTTATTGGTCTCAGGTGTTTCTCGTTTTCTGTTGGTATTTACACCCCTGTGTTTGCGCAGTCTTGGGGTCTTGCATTGTGTCTATATACCCTGTTGTGGTCTCTTGTGTCGTTCTGGTTTACTTTGTTTATGGATCTATCTGTTCCACTCGGCTCTGGCTCTGTGTTTTTGGACTTTGAATCTCCTTTAAATAAAAGCAACTCGCACTTGCATCCTGTCTCAATGCCTCCCACGTTACAAGATGATTTCATGCAGGATCTAAAATGACTTTTTATACTTTTGTACCCTTGTTTTTGTGGCCAAATAACACTCCTATAGCTCTGAATGTAACTGGTGGGCTGTTAGCATTAACTGGTCTTGGCTAACCAAATGGTTTAGTTGCCATTTCTCAGCTTGTAGCTCCCTATGAATGGGTCTCTTACCCTGTCCGTGTTTCAGCTCACTCAGTCACTGCAGTATGTAGCATCATGTCCTTCCTGTATGAGCTTTCTGTGTGTGGACCATATACAGAGTCCACCTAGATGAAAAGTATAAACAGTTACTGTCTCTGCAGTCACACAACGGAAAGCTACTTCAGTATCTCAAAGAAAGTCAGTGGAGTTCTGACTCTGGGATAACAGTGTCCTATTGCACACACATCAACATAATACACAGTTTTAGTAAAAAATTTGCACTATTATGAGTAAAAGTCCTTTCTCTTTATGCTATAAAAAATTGAAACAGCGACCCAATCCACTGTGGATCATACAGTATTGACTCTTTATTGGTCTTTTATAGTAAAATAATAACACTGCACCCCACAGCACTTGTGAATGAATAGCACTTAACATAGTATGCCGTTTCATCCATTCCTGCTCAAACCATTTTTCCTTTATTGTCTGATTTATTCTTTACTCAGCTTCCACAAGTGAACACCAAGTCTATCAGGATAAGACTGATGGGTTTGAGTCATTAGAGCAAAAAGAAAAATCAAACAAATAATGAGTTTCCCAACACAAAGGAAAACAGCATGAAAAGGTAGACAAAGGAAGAAGCAAGGATGCCACGACAAACAATCCCTGGTGTGGAAAGTGACTGATTGAGAGAAAGGTCTCAGCACTTTCTCTCAGGATTATTATTATTACTGTAATGAATGAGCTGATGAGACAGAGAAGGAGGCGGAGCACAAGTACAAGTATATTTTATTTAAGTCTTTATGTGAATAATCCAAACGACACCCAGGTAGATAAATAATACATTGATCCAGGGAGAACACACCAAAACAAGATAACAAGGATACACATATTCTGAATACACAAATATTTTGATATCATACATTAGAATGAAGATTTATATGAAGCAGAAAGAAGTATTTATAAACATTCCTGAACATTTCTTGATGATTTCTCATTAAAAGGGGAGACTATTTAATATATATGTACACTATTGTTACAATTCATCCCTTTAAAAACAACAGATAATCTTTATCATGGATTTGTTTGGTGTCCTCTGATGCTCCAGATCCATCATTCAGCCTGGCAGCTGCATGAAGATCAACAGATGTTGTGGATTCTTCATGGTCTAGATCTTCTTGGCAGGTTCCTCATGGATCCTAGTTCCCCTCCTCACCACATCCCACAGCATATGGAGAACCTGTACACATCACACATCACCCAATGAGAGCTGTTAGAAAGATTTAGAGATCATAAAGAAAAATAAAAACACATCAAATCTAAGATCTCACCATCAATGTCAGGAGCTGCTTCTCCGTTTTGGAGGCTGCAGCAGAGACAGGAAAAGAAATGAGGAACAATTCCACAATAATGAAAGTGATCAAGTTCATTTAAGACCTGAACTTCAACATTATTGTCACAGTCTACCTTTGTAACGGCACAGCCTGAGATCCTGTAGAGAAACATATATATTATTAGGATATATAACTAGATAAGTACATATAACTAGATTATTAGTTTCATTAATAGTAGAGCTCTTTATTAGAGGGTCAGGTAGAGGTCATAGAGATTCATACTGGAGGGTCACCTTGTGCAGTGCTGGCCTTTTTCATCATGAGTGCAAATGCAATCCAAACAGAAAGCAGAAGACACAAACATATGGGCCATGAAGTAAACAGAGGCATGAGAGGGTGAACACCTGTAAACAGACGACCATCACAGTATCAGTGATTAGAAATACTGTAAAACAGTGCAGATAAAAGTGACGTTTATATTCTTAGTTATATTATATAAACCTGTGTGTGATTGAGTTTGTATGTGTATTTAACACCATTTATCTCAGCAGTGAGTGTGTTTATGCTAATAAAAACACTATTTATTATTAAAATACATACTAATAAACATTAATACAGTATAATAATAATAATACAGACCAGAATTTCTTTCTGTCAGAAAGGTAGCTGATATCTTATGAGCTAGTTTGAAGAACAAAGCCTGGTTCCAGATTTCTCCTCAACATCTCTAGACATTGCATGGATTTATTAAATTCCATCAGCTGCACTCCTGATTTAATTTATTCATGCAGTGATCATATAAACCAGGTGTTGAATAATAACTACAAATAAATCAGGTTTTCCTCAGTGAGAAGGGTCTAAAGGGTTAAATAACCACATTGACATTATGGAAAATTACTACTTATTCTATTAATGTTTTTTGTGTTTATTCTAATATCAGTGTTTTTCTGAGTAAATAAACACCCACTGCCTGCATAAATAGCTTTTTAATTCTAAATTTCCCAGATGCCCAAAATTTTATATATATATATATATATATATATATATATACACACACACACAGACAGTAATATGCAAAAGTTTGGGCGTCCCTGGTCAAATGACACGTAGTGTTGGTTTTCTAAGTGTGAATAACTGAACACACCCTCTGCAGAGTTAAACACAATGTTTGTCTGATGAAACGTCAACAAAAAATGCAGCCTGTACAAAAGTTATGCCACATTTTAGATTTTATGTTTTATTTGTTCCAAAAATGTTAAACTTAGGAAATAAATAGAAATTGAGCACTAAAATGTGCAGAAAATGCCATATTTAAGTGTGTTCTCTTCTCTGTAGAGGATGTGTTAACTTATTCACACTTAGAAAATCAACAAAATAAGAAATCTTATACATATAAATAACTTATGCATACATGCATCATAGAGAACTGCTTTTATACATATATCTTGAAGATGAAACTCACCAGTTGTTTTCTTTGTTGTTTCCTCAGTTGTTGTCTGAGTCACAGTGGTCATGGTTGGCTGTGGTCTTTTGTCTTTCTGAACACTGACTGTAACTTTCTGTATCACCTTCCAGTTTCCTTTAGCAGTGTTTTTATTATTTGGGTCCACTTGTACAGCACAGAGGTACTGACCGCTGTCTGACTCCATCACTTCACTGATCCTGATATTGTGACTGTTCGGTTCTTTGGTTTGGTTTGAGAGTCTGTTAAGCAGTTCTTCTTGCACGTTGCAGTGGTGACCGAGCACGACCGGCTCAGAAATGGAAAAATCATAAGAATACACACAGGTGCTGCTCTGTCCAACAGTCTTAATCCAGTAAACAACAAAGGACACCCCATTATATTCTTGTGTGAAGGTGAAACTACAGTTTAAACTCACTGATTCACCTTCAGTTACTTTCAGTGAAGATGTTCTCTCAGGTGTGGATGTTACTGCAGGGAGAAAAATAATAATAATAACTTTACTGATTATTCAAGAAGTTGCAGAGAATGAAAAGTTACTCACTGTTTGGGTTTGGAACAGCAACTATGTATGAATAGATGGCATTGGGAGACGGTTTGAATGGAAAAAGGAATCCAGGATCCAGAGATTTAACACAGGCGAAAAATCCACTCTTTACTGTTAGAGTACAATCAGGCTCTGACTGTGAATGTTTATTTGTGCAAAAATCCAGTTTATCATAATTCTCGACAAGCTCAATCCTGATGTGGTCACACAGTGAGCAGTTCAGGTCAATCCGTTTGTCAGACTCTGTGCTTATTTGCCATTTGTTTGTTTCACATCTCAAGTCTACTTTATCCATTGCTGTGTAGATGAACTGAGCACTTAGAAATGAAAAAGAAATGATTGTGAGGCTAATTAAAAACAGAGAGTGAATTCAGGCATTTGTTTTTATTATCGTTACTTTATAAATAATAAACTAAAAAGGTAAAGTTGTGTAACACTTAGCAAAAAGTGAAAATAAATATTGCAGATAGAAAAGATTTTGTTAATGAAAGTGAATCTACTGCTACAGAATGACTGTTTTGAGTTCAAACTGTAATCAAAGTTATACTTTAAATTATCATATAGAACAATATTATATATACTGTAAACATGGTAAAACACAAACAATGTGAAAATCACTCACCGTGGCTTTTACTGAAGACAAAGAACAGAAAAATGAAGCACAGCGTCGCCATGACTTCTATTAGTTGTTCAAAAGCAGAAGTGTGAGATGTTATAGCTTCGTCTTACAGGAAAAGCTGTAACACAGCGGCTTCAGCTGTAATAAGTGTAAAACTGAGCTCATTTCCTCAGTTCAAACTTTATTTTTAGCGAATTCCTTTACAGATAATTCAGAGATATTTCAAGCTAAAATGAAAAAAAGCTAGAACCCAAAGCTCTAGCCTAGGTAATTATGAATGGATCATATTAAAACTAATTTAGTTAATTTAGTTACATGATTCAAGTAGAAGTAAAAGTAGCAAAAAGTATTAAAATAAAAACTCAAGACCTACAAAACTGCAGTGGAACCTACACTTTAGTTTCATTCATGATGATTTAAAGAGCTCATATCACAGAAAAGTCAGTTTTCCTGCTTTTTTAAATAAAACTGTTTGATGTTTTATGTAAACATTGATTAAACATTTTAAAAACAGTGTTGACTCATCAGTCCATACAGTCCATATATGGAAACGCAGTTTTAAAGTCAGCGTTTTTGTGATGTCACATATCAAACCCATCACATTTACATGTATCTGTCTATTCAGCCTACAGCAGTTCAGCTCTGCCCAACAAAAATAAGGGATAGGATTTGTAAAAAACAAAAAAGGACATGTTGCAGTGTTCCTGTAATTGTTGATAACTATGATAAACAGCAGTACTTAAACATGATTTCGTTGTTTTTGTCATCATTAATCTGTGACAATAAAGGAAAATCAATAGTAGATGATAGACGTTAAACCAGGGTCACCAATCTTATCCACAGAGGACCAGAGCAGCTGCAGGTTTTCATTCCAAACTGACTGTATCTGACTGTACCTGATTGTATCTGATTGTACCTGATTGTATCTGATTGTATCTGACTGTACCTGATTGTACCTGACTGTACCTGATTGTATCTGATTGTACCTGACTGTATTTGATTGTATCTGACTGTTCCTGATTGTATCTGATTGTATCTGACTGTACCTGATCGTATCTGACTGTACCTGATTGTATCTGATTGTATCTGACTGTATCTGATTAATCAGCTGCTGTCTGTCTTCAGATTACTGATCATTTGATCTCCTGATTTGTTGGAATGAAAACCTGCAATCAAACTGGCCTTTGTGGATGAGACTGGACGCCCCGGTGTTAAAGTGAGAAATATGGTGTGGCAGCGCCACCTGCTGTACCTGGTGTGGAATGAATTAGTGGCTTTATTTAAGCAGCAGCGCCATCTGGTGGGTCATAATGGTCTCCTATTCTAAAATCTCACAGCGCTGCTACTCAGTGATCGTCATGGAAAGCAGAAGTGAGAACTAAGATGATGCAAATGCGAGTTTTTTGGTGTTTTAGTTTTAGAGATTTATTTTACAAATAATGCAGAGAATTTCTTCAGCAAACTTTTATCAAGAAGGCTGCACAGTGAAAACATCAGAAATTAGATTTAAAAAGAACAAAAGCTCAATAAACTAAATAATTATGAATAACCAATTTATGATAACATTTAAGTTACATGTTTCTGTGAATATATTACATATTTCATTATACAATAAACTTTTTTATGGAGATCTTCTGAACTAAGAAATCTCATATAATGAACAGAAGTGTGCAGATGAGCTTCAACCACACACTAAAGTAAGCAAATTGTAACTGCAGTGAAAAAGCTCAGAAATAAAGTATCTATTGAGTAACTTATAGAGCTGCAGTGGAACTTTTTAGCCCATCTGCCAGCACAGAACTGAACTGTCTTTGGTAATATTGTGCTCCTTTACTGCATTTCATTCATACCTGTACTCTACACAGTGACAATAAAGTTGAATTTAATCTAATCTTTATGAATTCAAAAACTCGTAAAATTGAAATATATATATATATTTGCTCTACATTACTTGTTACACTGCTCTTAATATGGTTGATAGAACAAGATTGGTATACTTATATTATTTGTTTTTTTCAAGATACATTCTGTGAAAGGCAGAGAAAATCCTAAGCAGATTTTGCATTTACAGTGGTGTAGCAGCGCCATCTGCTGTACTGGGTAGGGATTGAATGAGCATCTGTATTTAAGGAGCAGCGCCATCTGGTGGGTCACAATGGCCTTTCAGGCTTAAACTGTACAAATGTTACCAACACTACTGTACTTTCTAAACAGATAATTAGGGCTAAATTAAGTGTTTCTTGAGAGCTGTGTCTAAACTTTTAAAGCATGCATGTCATCATGCTTCAGATCAGGGGTACCCCAGCTTTTTATCTTGGGGAGAAAAATGCAATGTTGTGCTATGATATGAATTTTGGTTTATAATATTATCATTTATTTTGTAACTAAAATATGATAGGATTACTCTTTATTTGCTGAATTTAACATTTTGGGATAAAAAAAACATTAAAATTGTGCAATTAAATTTGCAAAAAAAGAAAAAAGTAATATTAAAGTGTGTTCCCTGTAGAGGATGTGGTCACTTAGTTTCACTTAGAAAATCAATAAAACCTAATTTGACCTGAGGATGTTCAAAATTTGCATATGACTGGTGATATGCAAATGACTTCTCTACAGTGTTTCAGCATGTGAGCTGCTGCACTGAGGCGCCTTTAACACACACAGATCAGCAGCTTCGTATTAAATATGTCTGCTGTGATCTGAAGCCCCAGATTCATATAAGCTGTTCAGTCTAACGACTGAATAAGGGTCAATAGATGGTGTGGATTCTTCACGGCCTGGATCAGCCGTCTTAGATCCAAAGAAAGTCCCCTCCTCACCATTTCCAACAGCATATGGAGAACCTGCACGTAGCATGAGTGAAGATTATACAGTAAGCATTACAGAGACGACTGAACACGGAAAAGAAGAAGAAGATGATACAACTGAAACACTGACACACTTACAGTCCATGTCAGGAGCTTCTTCTCTGTAGCAGTCAGAGGAAAACAGGACGTAACAGAAATGAGTAACAGTTGATGCAATTATGGAAATCATGTCTACATAAAATGAAGATAAATATAACTGTGACAGCTCACCTTTGTTGAACAGTGTGACATCCTGTATGAATGAAAAATTATATATATATTAATTTCAACTACATTAAATGCCTACTTGTAAAGGGCTGTATAAAATACACAGGGAACTGTGTTTTTCAACCTATTTCTTCACAGTGTGGTTACCTTGTGAAGTGATGCACTTCTTCTTTACATACAGAACCACAACAATCAGCAGAAGACACAGTATTATGGGAACTGCAATATACAAGGGCTTAAGACGATCAGCATCTGTGTAGAGACAACAGAGAAAACATCAGCAGTTAGAAATAAAATAATGTAGATTAACAGTGAGGATCATTTATATTCCTCCCAAGATACAACATATAATCATTTTCATGCAAACTCACCAGTTTTGTCTTTGTGAACACTGACTGTAATATTTTGTATCACCTTCCAGTTTCCTTTAGCAGTGATTTTATTATTTGGGTGCACTTGTACAGCACAGAGGTACTGACCGCTGTCCGACTCCATCACGTCACTGATCCTGATGTTGTGACTGTTCTGTTCTTTGGTTCGGTTTGAGAGTCTGTTAAGCAGTTCTTTTTGCACAGTGCAGTGGTGACCATACTGGGGCGAATTACGCTTGGAATAATCATAAGAATACACACAGGTGCCGCTCTGTCCAACAGTCTTAATCCAGTAAACAACAAATGGCACCTCATTATATTTTTGTGTGAAGGTGAAACTACAGTTTAAACTCACTGATTCACCTTCAGTTACTTTCAGTGAAGATGTTTTCTCAGGTGTGGATGTTACTGCAGGGAGAAAAGAGTAGAATGTATTACTTTGTCTTGGTTACTGCCAGTTTAGCAAAATACTTAGAAAAAGTAGTGATGGCTGAATAATAAATACACCGTCCTAAATATGCTCAGTGATGTTCTCTATTACAATACATAGAAAATAACGTATTCAGATACACTTAGAATACATACTGATAAAGCACATGGGAAACATTGTGCTGTAATTTGTATTTAATTCATGCTGTTTCTCGCTGTTACTGATGAGCAGTTTTGTTACTTAATTCTTCTGTTAATGTTTCATGAAAAATGTAATTATTCAGATGAAGTACCAAATTAATACAAAATTCTCAATTTCATTTTGACTCTTATCCTCTGCTTTAGTCCAACGCTGCTCCCTTAGTCCCAGATAACACAGAGAAATTATTTTACTTTCATGATCTAAACCAGGGGGGTCAAACTGAACCACCACTAAAAGGGCCATATTAAAAAATCTCGACAAATCCGTGGACCAGCTGTGTTTTCATTTCATTTTTACTTAACATTTGCCATGAACCCAACTGGCCATATTCAAATTGTCATAACTACAACAGCAGAATAGGGACTAAATACTTGAACTATTCAAAAATTAAAAATTATAAATAAAAATAAATTGTCTTATATAAAACAATTGGCCACAAACCTCTTTATGTCACGCATTTGGCTAATCAGCCAACGAACTACATTCCCCAGAATACACTGGGGAATCAGGAGACGGAGCTATTTCCTTCGCTGGACAGTAATGACTCAGACTTCATTTCCCAGAATCCTCAGCCAGCTCACATGACTCCACAGAGATGCTCATCATCCTATCACCGTTCAACATCGCCTGAATACTAATGCTGTGCACCTGTGTATTTGTCACATGACTCAGAGAGATAGTATTTTAGCCCGGGCTATAGCTAGAATCATTGCGAGGTATTGTTTTCCTTAGAGAAACTACTGAGCGTTCTTCCTGTTATCTATTGTGTGTATGACCTTCTGCTTTCCTTCTTCTCTGACTCTGTTTTGGATTTGCCCCTGTGTACTTTTGCCTGGTATTGGATTTATGGTATTGACCCATCGCCTGTTTTTTGGACTTCGCTCTGTTTTCCCCTTGTCTGTTATGGTAGCCATTTCTCTACTACTGTTTATATCGGAACTGACCCATGCCTGTCTGCTGACTACGTTATACTTGCCTGAATCCACA